TCAAATTAGCATTTGTTATAAAACATTAAGATACAGATTTTAACAATGTTCTGACCTCAGCTGGTCTTCATTAATCATGTGACGGTAAAATTAGGGACGCACTGTTCGAGAATATGTTGCAGAATCTTGATCTCTGTTGCTCAACATGTACAGAACGATTATTTAAGGTTTCAATTGCTACTAAAAGTGCTACTAAAAGTTAACTAAACTGAAAAAAACTTTTATACTGTACCGTTGAGGCTGGTCATTGCCACATGTTAACATCCAAATCATGTGGTTCTTTACAAGCTAACAGCAGGTTAAAACATTATCCACTATGGTGTGTTATAGTCCTGATTACAGCTACACCTAAGTCACTGAAATACAACTTTTTATTATTATTTTCAGTGTTGTTGAAGCAGCTAATGATTGTGAAGACCCATAAACATGACCTAAATTACAGAAACTGTAACTTATATAACATGTGACATAAGTCAACTCCAAGTCGTGGATATTTTAAGGAGCCAAATCAGAAAATGGAATTGTTTTTAATGAAAGGCTTTATTTTACAGCTCTCTCGGCCCATATTTCCCACAAGGGATTCTGGTAGTTTCCTTTCAGTATGTTAACATGTGTTTGAAGGGTGAAAAATAAAGCTAAGGAATAATTTTTTTTTTCCTTTTCAAACACTTTATATATCTCAAATTGCTGGATTTGTTTTGTCCATGGCAAACTAACTGATTTGCTCCATTACCGCTCACCTCGTCAACGCCGGTCACAGAGTACGCGTGTCCCTTCACCAGCTTCTTAAACGTGACAGCCTCCATGTCTACGGAGCTGGTGATCTGAGGATGAGAGAATGGACAAACAGAGAGGTCACTGACGTCCACAACACATTTTTACAAAGTCAGGATGATGGCGCATGTGGGGAAATTCATTAACATCAGCAAGCTTTGCAAAGTGAGAAATCCATTATTGAGATAACTGACTGGTTGTTTCAACTAATTCAAGCAGCAGTCACACCACAGACTGTATGTTTGTAACCCATGCTGCATATGTAATGTTATAAAGACTGCTGGGAGATCAACGCAGTGCTCTAAATCACTGTCATCAAACTGAATTCCACATTTATTTATTAGTATACCAAATGGGAAATATGACTTATTTGCATACGATCATTCTTCTTTAATTTCTACAATGTTAAAACTGTTACACTTGGTCACATTTAAAACTGTGAACTTGCAAAAACTGCAAACTGTGAACACAGTTTAATTAAATAAACCTTCTTGCAACAAAAATTAACTAAAATCCATTTGTTTGTTGCTGTAAACCTCAATATTTTACTATTTCATCATCTCTGGTGCACAAATCTCTCAACCAGATGAGCTAGAGGGGCAGTTTTTCCCATCAAAACTGAGCAGCACAGGGACTCACAGTGATTACAGATAAGACAGACAGGGTTCAATCCCCTCTGTCTGCAAATATCCGCTTCACTGAAGTGTCCTTGAGAGTTAGCTGTACACCTAAGGTCATAATATATATATAATCGTGACATTATCCAGGAGAGTTTTGTGTTTCTGTGTTAAGCAACACTGATGATATTGCTGAAAGAAAACATTTAAATGGGTATACAGAATGGACTCAGTGATCTCTCTATGAGTTATAAATCACCATAAAGCCGACGGGAGCCACACATTCTGGTGATAATTCTCTGTCGTCACTGCATTGTGCTTTTTACGCATTGTTATTATAAAAACATTGATTATAGTCGCTTTAAAAAAAATATATATAACATTTTGTGCTAAATCTGTGTTCATTTCCCATTTGCTTGGGTCAAAGAATGCATGAATGTTGTAGTACTGACGTCTATGGAGCAGCCCAGCAGTGATCCTCTCTCTATGGCTCTGCTCATGATGTTGTAGAGGTCAGAGGGGACTTTCTTCAGGTCGTACATTTCCGTCACGCCGCCTGTAAAGTCCTCAAAGCCCTCTGACGTGCTGCCGCCTGACAGAGCCTCATAACAGCCATTCAACCTGGGACGTAACAAGAGATTAACGAGGATTTAAAATCATTCATTCAGTACACAGAGAATGATTAGATATATACAAGCAGGCCTCAAATGGAGGCCTAACACAGAATCAATGACAAATACTGCATAGGTTGATATTAATGGCAATGTTTATATGTAAACTATGCTGTCAAAAGACCTAATATAGTTAGGGAGAAAAGTTCAGAGTAAGGGTACGATATGTTCTCCATCCGCTGAACACTCACTGCTCTGTTCCACATTACCATATATGAATGCGTACCTACTGGCAAGTGTAACAATGAATAAATCTCACTTTTACATCACACTCTTCCTGTTTCCTCTCCAACTGGGCAGCCCACTTAACTTGGCACTCACAAACAATGCTGTACTTTCAGTTTTGAGCAAGTTTACAACTGGGACCACAGCTGTCAACTGGAGCAGCTGGAGTCTTAAGTTGCTTAATAGCTCCAGAAACTCTGTGGTCATAGGAGTTTTTTGTACAAAATTCTCCCACAGACTGCAGTCTGCAAAAAGCCCTAACTTGTGATCATATGACCAAGAATTGGGACTGGGACTGGAACTTGAGTAGACCAATTTACATCATCTTTATATAATGGTAGATTTGCCATAAATATGCTGCTAAGTGTAATAAACAAGAAAGAATGTCCACTTTAGCAGGCCGCAAACACAGCAAGAATGTTTGGATATTATCACTTTAAGGCACAAAAATAAAGCTAAATGTCCCAATATGGAAATTATCAACAGTATATAACATATATATATCATTTGACTTCTTCATTTTATGACGTAACATTAATAAATCATTAGCCTTATCTGTCAGTCTCACTTAGCATAGGCCTTTTCCAGCAGAGCACTCCAGAACTCAGTCCCCTCTGCCGAGTGGACGAAAAGCAGCTTCCCATCCTTCACTGGCAGCCGGTCATCGATCACCACCTCCACCCACTCACCGAACTGCCAGAACTGAAAGACAGACAGAGGGAAATATCCATATTACACCTAACACTAACAAATTATTAACACACACAGACTACAAATAAGATATATGTGCAAAAGGTTAAAGGATAAAATTGGAAAAAAGGGTAAATTGGCATATGTGAGAGAAAAAATCTGATGGAGGGAGAAGTATTCAGATCCTTAACTTAAGTTAAAGTACTAATACAACAAAGTAAAAATACAAGAAAAAGTCTTGCATTTAAAATCCTACTTAAGTAAAAGTATGAAGTACTTGAGTATCAAAAGCAAAAGAAATGGTTCTACAGAAAATAGGCCCTTGACTGCTAAAGTATTATATATTACATGATAGATTGTTAAGTGGTATTTTATTGTTGAAGTGGAGACTAAATGGGTAACATTAAACTCTACTCTAGTCTCTCTCCAGCATCCTCACCGATAATTTAAACCTCAAAACCAGTCCTGCAAGCACATCATTGTTTTACAAGGCAAATTAGCCGTCATAGGCCCCGCCATTGTTTACCTGCTCTATACTCAACATCAGAGAACTTTCTAAGAACTCATATCCAGTAAATCCAGTCATGTTGCGTAAAGGAACCTAAGGCAGAATACATTTTAAATCTCTCTAGCAAGATGATGAATCAGGAGGCGAAACAAGGCTTTGTAATGCAGCAGGTAAACTGAGGTAAATTAGGGCAGGGTGAGTTTCTCTGAAATGGTTTCCTACATTAGACCGTCATGTGGCTGTGTGCCTGTTGGCCAGCAGGGAGCAGAAGAGACCAACATATGAAAAGATGTCAGAGCCCCTTTACAGGCAGCACTGGTTCAAAAGGGGTAAAACCAGGCTGATGTCAAAGTGTCAAGAGTTTCTGTTATTGTTCCCCAGCAACACAACCGAGAAACCGTGCGTGAAATGTGGAAAACCTTACGAGATACTTCCCACTACAGCTTTACTTGAGTGTAACTTTCTAAGAACTCATATCCAGTAAATCCAGTCATGTTGCGTAAAAGAACCTAAGGCAAGTTCTCTGAAATCTTAATTTCGGTAACTCCTCAGAATATCTTTTCAATTTCTCTGGCAAGATGATAATTCAGGAGGCAAAACAAGGCTTTGTAATGCAGCAGGTAAACTGAGGTAAATTAGGGCAGGGTGAGTTTCTTTGAGGCTGTAATAAAATAATCCTCATGCAAAAGAAGAGCTCCCAGTGCAGTAGTACAGTGCTGAGACATATTTCTATGTCAAACCAATTAGATTTGTTGAACAGAGAAAGAAGGGGGGAGCTGAGAGAGGACTAATGTAGCAGGATTGTCAAATAAAAGGTGGAGTGTGTGCGTGCACCTCATGTTAGTATGTGTGCTTGGTGCAATGTGTGTACAGCAGGAAGATAGATAGATGGCTGCTTTGATGGATGAATTCTTCATGCCATGCAGAGCTGAGTCCACCTCTGGGAGGAGCTGTGTCACAACACGGCTGAGTGAAGCCAACACAAAGTGCACACACACACACACACACAAATAGAAACACAGGCTTGCCCCCGGCACACACAACTTCTTCATTTTACTCTTTCACACTGACACTGCCGAGTGTTTATTTCACAGCGATGTGGAAGCAACAGCCGGTCTCAAAAGAGAAATGAACTCTTAACCACATCTGTGTCATGACTTGCAGTTACCCCGCCTTAAAGCTTGAGAAATCCTCCATACAGCTCAACAAACAGGATTTCTGTGTGAAATATGCGCTATAATAAGAATATAATGAAGCATTCTGCACCAGTTAACGGTTTCATTTGTTTTCTGACTGAGATGGCTGAGATTGCCTATTTTATAATTTATTCTTTCTCCTTCTGTTTGCCTGCCTCGCTCGTTCACACACACAGATTCCCTCTCTTTTGTTTCCTGCATCTTAAACAAATTAGGATTCCCACTGCTCATAATTACATTTTTGGGATGACTCATCCAGGTCTGCCTAACTTATTCCGGGGCTTAAAGGATCCGAACCGATACAAAGGGGAATCCCTGCAGGACTCAACAACACACAAAGGAGATTGGAAACATGCTCGGACAGAAAAGAAAGAAAACGAGAAACTGCAAGTAATGCTGCGATACAGACATCATGACGAGAGGCTTAAAACAAAAACATGCATAAAAGAAAAAGATGAAACTAGGGCAACTCTTTACTAAATGGAAAGCACCCATGTGTGTTTTCATGCATATACAATTGACACCCGCATGCATTTACACGCCTTTAGAGCAAATGGAAGTATTATTTCCACTCATTCTAGCACAGAGAGCAAATGTGTGTGTGTGTGGGTGCATCTACTGAACAGAGAATGACTATATTTGACAATGTAAAAATTGTCTCCGTCCAGTGTTTCTGGAAATAATCAGTGAAAAACAGGCCAGATATGCTGCTTTCCCTTGGCTGCCTTCTTTGTAATTAAGTCACCAGGCCCCAGCAGACATGTGTAAATGGGACCTCTGTGTGTCGGATGGTATTTATTGATCCTTCCATATGAGATGAGTCAGCACAGCCGCCTCAGAGCTGGTCTTTTTCAAAGTTGCTTCAGAAAAATGGACAACTACCAACAAAGGAACTGAAATCTTTGTCTGCAGGGTTTGACAGAAGGATTTCCCTGCTATGCTATTAGCCTAGCCTGTGTGTGTGTGTGTGT